TAAATTACGACCTTGTCCACACGTACCGAACTTCACCCGGGGGATTTCGGGGTTTTGACACAAGAAAGAGCAGCCTACAGTCTGATTGTGCAGACCGTCACGGCTACCCATATCTGACGTGCCGCGACACGCACATACTTGAAACTAAAATCATAATCTCACTTCGGCATAACTTACTAGTGGCTGTCCACGCCCTGACCCCCGCAACATCCCCCGTTGCGTGACATGACAGGTCAGGGTTCTGTACGGAATAAATTTCACCATCTGGTGTCTCCCATATTTGCCGGCTAACTGGAAACTGGCCTGATAATTATGGCGCCTGCAGCCAGCCCAATTGTAAGACTTTATAGGCGGGTGTAGTGGCAACTTTTTCCCCTCATCCGAGAGCATAAGTAACATGACTAGATTTTCAATGAATTTTCTATAAGATATCAAATAGGAAAAGCCTTATTACAGCCGGGATAAACGTTACATCAAGTAACGAAAGAGTTCAAAAAGCATCGTAATGTACTGCATAACATTGGCAAGACAAGGTTAACCAGAGCTTAGCTAGTTCATTTTAACATCTGGTCTGACTTGTCCACAATGCTCAACCCTTACACGAGATTCAAATAAGGGACTGCTAAAATCAGTTAAATTGTCGGGTTCCAAGTTCAGGTCTTACCATTGTCGGATGGAGCTATGGATGGACAAAGATGACAAGAAGGCCAGAATGGAACAATCCAATCTCATGTTTCCGAGAGAAGCACTCTTGGGGCAAATATTTCAGGTCCATTAAGAAGGTTCCTAAATTACTTTCTGAAGCGGAAAATGACAAAGTTTTATGAAATCTTACAGGAGGTGAATTGGGAGAATTCGGACACGTGTTTACGTAAATTTTAGATCAAACTTTACAAAATTACTCCGGTGGTATTGCGGAATTCTTGTTCCCTGTTGGTTGTATTTTTCATTATAATTATCGCGCGCCTATTTGTTGCCAAGCATCATGTTATTTAAATTAGTGTTCCTATTATTTTCTTATTTTATACGCTGTGCTTTTTCTTTCGCCTTATATGCCCCATCCATATAACCCCTATTACAACAGATCCCGTAGCACAAAAACCCGGGGTTTTGTTACTGTGGTGATGTGTATACTGAATTCTTATCACCTCATGTTCAGTCAGCAAATCCTAATGAATAGATCAACTTATTTTGCAAACTGCCTTTGTG